CAATTGGCTTAATCAATTTATCGATTTGTTCATCGGATCAACTTTTGGATAATTGCACCTTGGTCCCTGAACTTTTACTTTGTGTCATTTTAGTCATTTTCGCGTTTTTCTCCTGAATTTCACTATGTTCATCGTTGTTCCCTAAAATTCACAAATGTAATGAAATTAAGTCACAATTTAATCATTTTGCTCGTTATTCAATCATGTTTGTGACCTAAATAAGTGTACAAAAACACACTTATCATTAACCTTCTAAAATTAGTCAAAATTATTGTCAAGGTCAATTATATTGTCAATTAACGGTCAGACTAACATTTTCATCTATTTGGAATCCAAGCGAGAATTTATGAAAGGTTTGGTGTTGACACAAATGAAAGGTTGAGATCAAATCTACTATTAAATGAAAGATTTTGCATCACGATTGCAATTTTCCCTATATAAAATTAAAATAATAGATATGAGAGTTGAATTTTCTGTCATTCTATTAGCTTGGTATTGAGTTTAAACAATAAAAAGTTAAAACAAACTTTTGTATACAGCTGTTAAGATATGACTATTTATCTCTTAATCAAATAGTGGGACAACAACACGACTTTATTTAAACTGACCGAAACAATAAATGCATGTTTAATTTATATAGACGTATAATATTTTACCTTATGTTTCATTTTTATACCGTTTATTTTGCAAATAAAACAAATTGTATTAATTTTAATATCTCGTCTCCTTTAACTTATTTTATTAAAGGCATGACTCTGAATAAAATATTTTACTTTTGAATTTACTTTTACGAGTTCCACAAAAAATAAAAGAAAAATAAAATAAATTTAGGAAGTATCAAAGTTGACCAACCTACTTTCAAACAGTAAAAGTAAATAAAATTAATCTGCAAGTACGAATTTTTTCTTTAACAGAATTGGAACATAAAGACAACCGCTTTCCTGTGATTTGTTGTTGTCAAAAATTATTTTTGACTAATAGTCAATTACAGAAAGACAATTGCATATTTAGTTATAGCATTGTTCAAGCAAATAATTAGATGCAAGTTACAAAAAGTTATATGTGACAAAAGCATGTGAACCGGATTCGCCCATTGGCCATTTCAACTGTAATAAATCAATAAAATAAAATATATATCTGTCCTGCTTTTTAACACATTTTCCACTCAACGGCTTGCTTGTCTCATAATTAACAACGCACCTCAAATTCCCAAAACACCCTCACCTAATGAACCCTAAATTTACATGTTTTTCTTTGGAATAATTGCAACAAAAGTTCCAAATCTTTGAAACATTAATAGACCTTTTTTAAACTTTTAACTTATTGCAACGGTCACTCTTAACATTTCCAATCATTGCACGTGAGTCCCCTTTGGACGGTTTCCATCCAAAATGTCATCAGTTGACTGCCAAAAAAGGTTTGAACATTTTTAATCAAAATAGGGGAAGGCAAAATGGTAACTTAATATTTTTCTCATAAAATTAGTAAAAAAATTAAATAATAAAAAAAAGGATATCTGATCGTCTTCCTTACCCCCAACCCCTACATTTTAGTCTTAACCCCTTAACCTAAAATCAAAAATCTGCAATCACCACGCCATTGACCACCAGTCCACCACCACCACCACCACCACCACCACCACCATGAACATTAATTCCTTGTTAAACCATGAACAGTTGCTCCAAGAAATGAAAGATCATCAAAAACGAAAAAGTCCAAATGGGACCACTGCATTTCACCTCTTTAGCAATCACCTTGCCACCTCCAAAGTTGTTTGAAAATACCCCCACACCGACAGTATCACACCCCTAACACTTGCAAAGAAAAAGACTATTTACATTTGGGGAAGGAGCTCATGTATGGTGAAAAATTACATTTGCAGCGAATTGGTTTCTTGAATTTTTGTAATTTGGTTTATATGTTTTAGAATAGATCTGAGGCTAATGTATTGGTTCTATCAAGTGTCGCAACAAACATTATACCGCAACCTCAATTTATATTACATATGTAGTTGGGGGGTTTCTCTCTTATCTCTATACATATATGTCTACATATGTATTTGGGTGTGTGAATGGACTATAGATTCTGGGTATGTCAACGGTTGGCAGTTTAAGGTGGCGATGGTAATTGCGGTGTAGCGACGGATAGTGGGGGTGGTGGTCGATGGGCAGTGACGGTAGGTGTTGGGCAGAGGTTGAAGGAGATGAAGGAGTTTTTATTTATTTTTATTCTTTTTGATTTTTACAATTTAATTACTACTTTGCCTTTTCAAATTTGAAGAGAACATTTTACTCTCGCCTATTTTGGTTAAAATGGCCAGAGTTTAATTTTTATGGTCAACTAACAATAGAAGAGACTGTTTCCATATATTTGGGGCCTCATCTACAACGATTGGATATGTTAGAGGTGACGATTGCAACAAATGAAAGGTTTGAGAAAAGTTTGTTAGCGTGTCAAATGTTTGGAGCTTCTGTTTCAATTATCCTTTTCTCTCTTTTTGAACATTTCAGAAAAAATGAGGTCCCACAGGCATAGAATGTGCCCTCAGCATAGGTCCCACTTAGATATTTAACTATAGTGCTTTCTTGTTTAATAGTAACAAAAAGCACAAAAAATCAAAACGTGACTTGCATGGAGTGTTAGGATGAAGATGCTTTCCTAATAAATGAGGGGCCAAATACAAATTGCGTTACTCCTACTTAGAGCAGTCTATGATGTCCAATAAGGGATTTGATAAAGTTCAAAAGTATTTACTAGAATTTCTTTTTTAACTTGATTAAAACTTTTTAAATATTTATTTGAGTATATTTTATGACTAAATATGTGGTTACTTTTAAAACAAGTATTAAGAAAGAAAACAATGTAGCCTGTGTTTGCTAATGTTTATAAGCTTGAATAAATGGACTAATTATTTTTTATTTTGACAAATTTTATGGAATTTACAAATACTATTCACTTATTTATCACACGTTTCTATCAATTTATAAATTAAATAGTTTATAAACACTTTCAAACAAGCTTTAATTAACTAAAGAAACATGTAAAAATTAGGAAAATTATTTATAAATAAATTTCACTTCTTCCTCCAACTGTTATCTTGTCCAGTTATTTTCAATACAAGCTAACGAAACTTAAAAGGGTAATTATCAACACTCCAAAATTTACAATTATATTCCTAGTACAATAAAAACTAAAAGTGAAAAACAAAATACAATATTGTGGTGCATTTAGTATCAACCCAACAATGATATCGCCAGAGGCCATACTTTCCCCAAAATTTTGACTTTCCTTGTTGTATCCTTTCCAGGCATATCATTATCCTTTACTTGGAACACTAAAAAGCCATTAGAGTGATTAATTTACGAATTAATTAGGGAGTGGGGATTATGTGAAATCAAAATTAGAGAGGTTTTTAAAAAGGAGAATTTTTTGTGAAATGGGATTGTGGATGTAACAGGGAGACTAAGAATGCCATTAGAGTGATTAATTTAGGAATTAATTAGGGTTTTGAGAATGGGTTAAGAAGATTTGAAAGGCGGTGGTTGGAAGCTGAGGGGAATTCTTTGTTGGAGCTTTGGGTAGGGGTGGGAGGAAGACGATGAGCCTGTTTGAGAGTGATTTTGAGAATTGATTTTTTGACTGTTAGGAGAAAAGTGGGGTCCACATGTGAGAGAAGAAGTCAAATATGACGGCTGAAATAGTGAAATAACGGTCAAAAAATCAATTTTTTGGATGAAAAAATCGCTCCCAAACATGCTCCAAAAAAAGATTGTTGTGTTGTCTCACGTGCCAAAATATTTATCCTAACGTGTTTTTTCCTTGAAGAGCAATATGTCAAACAAAGTTATGGTCTTTCTTTCCAATTCGGTCAAATTTCATTCAGAGCTTTTTAGATACATTCAGGCCCCGTTTGGGAGGAATTTTGAGAATTGATTTTTTGACCGTTAGAAGAAAAGTAGGATCCACCCGTAAGAGAAAAAGTCAAAAATTATGGTTGAAATAGTAAAATAACGGTAAAAAAATCAATTTTTTTTAGTAAAAAATCCCTCCCAAACAGGCCCTTAGATTGATTGTTTTGATATCCACGGAAAACAAAAGCAGTAGAAACGAACTTCCACCTTTTTTGGATTTTGGTTTTTGTTGTAGCAACAATTGGCGATTTTGAGGTGGTGGTTGGCTTTTCCGATGATTTGAGGGTGGAGATTATTCTCTCTAATTTTGGAGTGGTGGTGGGTGAAAAAGACAAAAAGAAACCTAAAAAAAAAAAATAATAAAATAAAAGGTGGTGCACTTAATAAAATTTTAGGCTAATTATATATTAAAATTTTAATTATGCAATTTTACTTAAAAGCTATTTAAGTAAATAAGAAAAATTTTAAAAATTTTAGTGCACTTAATAAAATTTGTATTGGTAGTATAATTACCCACACTTAGACAACCGAATCATTATTCATAATATAAATATTAAGAATTTATTTATCTTTGTTTTCTCAGCTCAAGGTTCTGCTCTGTACTGTTCGCTGTCCATACATTTTTTTTTAGATGAAATTACAAAAAATGTTCATTTTGACATAGTTATTTGTAAAAATATTCAAAAATTTTCAATATCCATTTATGCAATTATTTGGATGAGAGTATTCCTAACTAGCTTTCATGAGAAGTTATATTCAAATGATGTTCTTGATATTTGAATCCGTTTATATTTCAAAAATACATATGTCAAGTCACAATATTAAATATTCTCGATATTTTAAACGCTTTTATTGACAAATTAAATTTCTAGAATGATATTTCATTCTGAACATGACATTTTTCTACACTTTAATTGTGATTTGACATGTGCAATATGAAATTATTTATTATTTCATTAAGGATAAAATAGAAAATTTGATATTAAATTTGACAATTTTTACAAAAATGATCAAAAGTGGACATTTTTAAATTGATATATGTAAAATTTGACATTTTGCGAATGCCCCTTGTTTTTATATGCCATCCCTCTCTCCCCCCTCCTTCGTGGAGTCTTCTCCTTTTCTCTACATTCAACAGCCAAGGGGAGAGAGAGAGAGAGAACAAAAATAATTTCCATTTCATATATTTATTTTCTCATTTTTCCTTGGCTAATTTCTACCTGGCGAATTGGAAGTTTCAGGATTTGCAGATTTCGAACTACAATTGAGTTTTCTACATTTCGGGCCTTATTTAAGAGATCTGAAGCTCATTCAACTCTCCGACAGATCACCAGCAGGTAACCCTTTCCGGCGAAGTATAGTATATAGAGGTTCAGATTCTTTGTGAGTTTGTTGAGATGGGATTCTGTATGGTTCAACTGTAGATCAATTCATAGTCAATGCTTTGATCTGAGTACAAATTCAACTGTCGGTAGCAATTCAGTTTGGTGTTAGTACCGGATAATCAAAATGATGAGGGTTCCACGTATGAACGGTGGCTCCGCCGCCGCCAGCAATCCGAATGAATTGGAGCTGAGGCCCGGTGGAATGCTGGTCCAAAAACGCACCGACGAGGACCAAAACCACGCTCCACCTCCCACTATTCGGGTCCGTGTGAAATACGGGTCAAATTACCACGATATCTATATCAGTTCTCAGGCTACATTTGGTAAGTCTCAATAACAAATGCCACCTATCAACACAAATGTGTTAGAAGACAAAGATTTAAATAGATGCATATGCATCTTGTTTGAAAAACTTGAGCTTTTAAACAAGATGGTTCATCATTAGTAGCCTCCATAAATGGTGCCCTAGTGGTACCTTGAAACTTCACATCCCAAAATTTATTTACTCTTTCTTATGAAGGGCTAAGTTTTGTTAATTAATTTTCTTCGTTAGCAAATTAATAAGTGGTCCATGTCTAGCCTTGTCACCGCGCTAAAGTCCATAGATTAAAATGATAATACAATTATTTGTTGAAGAAAAGATTTGAACGAATATGTATAATGTATCCTCAAGTTTTTGGACGATGCCGTTCAACGATACACAATTGTCAGTAGGGAATAAATATTTTCAGTCTTTAATTTATGGTATTTGATGTTTTATTTTGGTTTTTGGGAATCTAGGGGAGTTGAAGAAGATGTTAACAGGGCCTACAGGGTTGCATCACCAAGATCAGAAGCTATTTTACAAGGATAAAGAGAGGGACTCTAAAGTTTTTCTTGACACTGTAGGAGTGAAGGACAAATCTAAGATTGTGTTAGTAGAGGATCCAATTAGCCAAGAGAAGAGGTACGTTGAGATGAGGAAAAATGCTAAAATAGCAAGGGCTGCAAAATCAATATCCGAAATCAGCTTGGAGGTTGATAAACTTGCTGGACAGGTAAACATACTACCACTATAGCAAATTTATCCTAAATTGGACATCAATCCCACTTATTGAATAAATAAGAAAATAGATTTTAAAACTAAAGGCTCGATAGAGTGATGATTATATACAGTGAACTGATATATGGTTGACACTGGGTAGGTTACGGAGCTTGAGTCCATAATTTCTAACGGTAGAAAGGTGGCTGAGAAGGATGTACTAAATCTCATTGAGTTATTGATGAATCAACTGCTTAAACTGGACGGGATCATAGCCGATGGTGATGTCAAGTTACAGAGGAAAATGCAGGTATAAAATTTGGTTCTACGTTATGGCTAAAATAACGCAGTTCTTGAATTTGGGATTATATCATTTAAGGGTTCATGCAAGTGTCTTGAATTTGTGATGTTTATTGAAGGTGAAAAGAGTGCAGAAGTATGTTGAGATTCTCGATGCGTTGAAGATTAAAAACGCAATGCCAACAAGCAACGAATACCATGAACCTGTACATTCATCTACATCCGTCCAGCCACAACAGCAGCCGAAGTATTCAAATGGGAACATGTCATCACATGTGCAACAGCAACAAGCTCGGCATTCATTTATAGATTCACCAAAGAAACGGCACTCAGCCTCAGGAGATGTTGTCATAACTACACAGTGGGAAATTTTTGAATCTACACCAGCAACCATTCCAGTTGCCCCTTCAACATCCACGACTACAAGTACAATCAAGCCAGCACAACCTAGTTCTTATTTGGATTTGCTAAGTTAGGTAATAGGCCAAAGTATTCGTGCTAGTGTGATTGTGCATTTTGGATTTGTTTCGAGCTGCTTTGGTCTCTGTTCTCCATTCTTTTCTGTATTTAAAGTTCTGTAAGCATCCCCTCCATATGTCATTCACTACAAAAATAAATGGGGGCTACTATAATGGAGTTTGAAATTATCTTCATGTCTCTATGATGTTCTCTTCTCCAGCTATCCCATTGAACGGATTCTCAATTGTAAAATCTGCTTCTTATGTAGACTTTCTCTTGGAATCAGGTTTTGCAATGATAAAGAACTGCATTTTAGCTCCAATTAGTCAAATTTACAATCCCACTCTATCTCCACTTGATCTGTTACAGGAGTACCGGGAATATCCTTAAAACAGGAATTTACCAAAATCTTAATCCTCTTCTATATTCTTTATTTAATATAAAGCAGGTCAATCCTGCTTTTGTGTTCTTCGAAACAAAGCAGATGTTGAGGCATAATGATTAATATTTGTACTTTGCTTCCCATTGGGGATGAAGAAGAATAATGTTATTTTAGTTCTAATGCAATTATAACCTCCTCTATGTGGTGTTAAATAATAAGTTAAATGAAAGGTGGAATCAAACAAGTCATTTATCATATAACGCCATTTTAGCATCAGATCTAAATAGAATGAGGATGATTTCAGTTGGGGATGGCCAAAAATTCTCAGAGCTGGACCAATCCAGTTCAGTAGGCCCGGGTCCTTTAATTTCAATAATCAGACGGTTCAGTTCCTTCCGGTTCTTGGTTCCCTGCCTAAGAACCGAAATTTCATGACCGAAATTTCATGAGAGTTCCATTTCTTGTTCTTTATTTTTATTTTTTTTTCAACAATTTAACCACCCAAATGATAGACAGATAGACAGTGGATTAGTTAAACCATTAAAAACAGGTTTTACTCTTTGGATCTGATGAAACTCTGCTGCACTTTTACCGTATGGAAACCTGCAATCTTCTCTCTTCAGAACTAAGAAATTACTACGACTGGAAAGGGAAAAAAAAAAAAAAAAAAAAGAAGAGTGAACCTCAACCTTGAGGGCCCCCCCCCCCCGCCTCTAAACCCAGCACAGAATAGGTTGTCTTAACATTAAAGAATCAATACGATTAATAATTACAATCTTTTAACCTTATCGACAGTGTCAAAACCTAGTATCACAAATGGTCAAATTAGATAAAAAGTACCAAACAAAAGGATTATTTTTAATCGGATAATGGTTCTCGCATTAAAAATATGCATTGCATTGTTCTAGAAATAAATACAATCACAATTACAAGCTAAAATCAGAACAAACAAAAAAAATCACAAAAATACAAATTGCAAGAAAAACTCAATCTTGAATCAAAATCTAATATGAAAAAAGTACGAAGGAAAAGAAAAAAAAAAAAAAAAAAAAAAAAGAGGATTGAACCTCAACCTTGAGGGCCCCACCGCCCTGCCTCTAGAGCTTTGTGAGGGAGATAAATCGTTGGATGTGCCCTAGCAGGTTAGCGAATAAGAGTTGTTTGTACATTGCGCCTACAAAAAGTCCAATTATATGTCTCAAGAATCGAATCCCCACACTACGACTACCACCAAAGTGTGAGATAACTTCACTTTTGTCCTTTGCACCACTGGGCTATGCCCGGGGGCACTACGACTGGAAATTACTTTGCCAGATAAGGTAGTTAAAATTCAGCAATGGGAGTAGATTCATTTAGTGTTAAGCAAATTTACGCAAGGCTAAAAATATAATAAATTTCTTGAAATTTAGTTAAAATTTCCTGAATAAATGAATTTAGTTGTGTCATTGGAATGCAATAAATTGTTTCTGTGGTCCAATTGAAGACTGAACAAAATATAATTCCAGCATTTATGACGAGTTTCTGTCTCGAATTTAGCTCCAAAAAAGTTGGGTGAGATGTCGATTTTCTTTTCTGAATCCTCACTGGGACTCGGATTTTAGTGATTGATACTCGTGTGGATGGCTTGTACCAAGATTTTCATGGCATGGACCAAATGTAAAGAATCCTCAAAATCTCGAAGGATTGTAATTGTCACTTGTCTTTTCCAGTGTGATAAATTAAAGTTAGAAAAGTATTCAGAAATATGATTGTGGCTAACTTACCAAAACATCGAATATTGATTTGAATTTATAGGATTACAATGTAACAGAATAATCGAAACAAAGAAAAAAGTAGGAGCTAACGTCTACGAAATCAATCACAAAAATTTATAATTCAAATAATTCAAGTGGTTAAGTACTCGTAGCAGGAAATCATATAGCAGCTAAATTTGGAGAGAAATCTGCAGTGGATGAAGGTTCGGGATCTTCTTAACGACATCTTAACAATTAATTCTCTCCAGTCTCAACTTCTGACTATGCCTTCGCTTGGGGGAAAGCCTAAGTAGAGGAAATTTCTTACTGAACTCCTACAGATGCTGATGTGACGGAACCTGATTCACCTTTTTTTGTTTTTTTTTTCCATCTTCCAATGATTTCACGCCATGTACTGCCTGTCAAAATTTTCTATTAAAACTTTTTTATACTTCAAGCATGATCGCGCCGGTTGGGACAGTATTTGTGGGTCAACTAATGGAATGTGTGCCATTGTAAATGACTTATTAATCATTTATAAATTAGCTAAACAGATGCTAATATAACATATTACACCATAAAGGATAACAAAGAAGACAGCAGAAGCTAATGAGTGAATTATAGGGCTCAAGGAGCCTGCATTTGATTTCGTTGCTCAACAATAGCCGATAATTCAATCCGAACAACAATAAATTAGTCTAATACATAATTGTATAATTCAAGAGATGCGCCGAATAGTAAGTGATACACATATAATCAAGAAAGCTGTTCAACACTACTAGTGTAGGTGGCAATTGCTTGTTATTAAATGATAAATTCACTTAAATTCAATATCACATGATTCATTTAATTGAACCTATCAAGTGTTGCCGTCTAAACTAGTGCTAGATAGAATTATTCCATTCAATAACACCAATAAATGCTCACAACTAGCTATTAGACGTGTAATGCATAGGTAGAAACCAAGTTATTCAATATGATAGAAAAATGTCACAAACTAGAGCACAGAAGAAGTAGCCTGCCCGAGTGCCCAAAACTTGCATTATTACGGAATTCTTTTTGTACAAATAGCTCTTCGAACTTGTAAGGAACGAGCACCAAGAAGTTATCAATATTTCTATCGAGTATTAGCTTGGGATAATGTCTTCTTAGGTCTACCGTGGATGGATAATTTAACTGCAGTATTTATCACTGAATAAATATATGCCAAAGTCTGTCAAGTTCAATTCTGCTCCATATTAGAATTATCACATTGAAAGGAAAAGATAACAAATAAAATACTAATAGTTTAGTTACACCAACTAACTACTTTCTCTAGTGAAAGAACATTATTCAAGAAATAACACTACAAATGAAGTATTCTATTAACCTTGAAGATACGTAGCTCAAAAAAATATTGAATTATTACATTAATTGCAAAAATTTCGTTGTGAAAGTTTATGGGCTGTATCTCAGCCCATTTAAACGGGCCTTACTACTATTTAATGGGAAAAATTCACAAATCATGTTTTAAGTATGCATACTTCAAGATTAAGGTGGTTAAGTTTAATTATGCAAAAATCAAACTTTTATCTAATTAATTAAAAATATTTAATAATTAAATATAATAAAACTCACAATTACACAATTAATGGTCACAGATCTCCAATTATAGGTCACATATTTATTTACTGATCACATATCATTAAATTAATTGGTCACATATTTTTTCGTGGTCACAAATCAAAAAATTTTGATGGTCACAAATAAAAAAATTTTGTTGGTCACAGATTATTTCGAGGTCGCAAATCAAAATTTTTATGGGTCACAGTTCTCATCATTGGTCGTAGATGAAAAATTATAGGTCACAGATTATATATTAGTCACATATTTTTGAATTTGTTAACCACAATTATCAAATTTTAAGGTCACATAGGTTACAGGTCAAACGGTGGATCACATACCACCACCACCTCCTCCGTCACCATCACCCTCACCCTCACCCTCACCCTCACCCTATCACTATCGTCGCCGCCACCAAACCACCACGACATCACCACCAACAAAATCTTTACCACCAGATCTAATCAACTCTACCAGCTCTCTAGCCACCAAACACCACCTCCACCGCCAACGAAAACCACCCGATCGCCACCACCAAAACACAATAATAATACCCAAAGCACAATCTCACCACCGTTTCCACCCAAATCGCCACTACCAACAATAATCGCCAACAACTGTAACGCCCGGACCTGTATGGACGGAAACGCCACTCAACCATTGTACCTTAACCGTAAAGTTAGTTCAATATATTTTTAGTAGAAGGTATAAAGATTAAAATTTTAGAATTTAATTAAAGAATTTTCTTTTTTTTATTTAAACAATAATTTCAATTCTAAACGAAAACAATTTCAAAAATATTTTTTTTGAATGAGTTCCATGCATGGAACAACTATTGGCGTGAAATTTTGGCAAAATTTAAAAAGCAATGTTGCTGTTCCAGTTTTTGTCTCAAACAGTAATTGTCAAAATAAATTTGTTTTCATAGCTATCGACCTTGAAACTTCATCAAATTTTAAAATAAAGTAGTAAACTCCTTATCATCTGACATAGTCAAAAGCTAGCTTCCGTCGACATCACATGGGGTATTAAAATATTTTTCAAAATTCAGCAGCGACCCGGTTGAAAGGTAAACCGGTGCAGTTCACTTAAAATGGCATATAAAATTTCACCGACGTCAAAACCACATGATTTCAAATTTATTCAGTAGCTAATCCATGAAACTATCAAATCCAATTGGTTTCATCCAAAAATTCCAAGGTTTCATCCAAAAATTCCAAGTAACGAGTGAGTTATGAACTTTTTGAAAACAAGGGTAGAAGTTGAAAAATAGAGACAGCACCCAGCACATTTTACTTTATGTGACATATAACCTTTTACCGATATTGGATTGATATGATTCCAATTTATTCAGTATCTAGCTTATTAGGCTATCCAATCCAATTGATTTCGTATAAAAATACTAAGTAACGAAAGAGTTATGATTTTTTTAAAGATGAGGCAGAAACTGAAATTTCTGAAGAGATATCAAAACTTTAAGTCG